CCCGGACAGTGTAGTTGTCGTCGTCTCCGGATGAAGTGGTGGCGGGTACCTCCCAAACGGTCAGTGCTCCCCAATGACTTCAAGGGGCACCAGGCCCTCCTTAAAAGGGCGGCTACCAATTTGAACTTAAAAATTGAGGAGTCTGCGGAGGAGTTCGATGACCTCTTTAATGTTATGTTCTCCTCTGTCCCAGCCCAGGTCACGCTGTCCGTCCATCCATCCAGGGGTCCTTAAGGTTGCTAAATCGCTGTGGCAGACTCTCTCTTCCATTCCACCAAGAAGGCAGAAAAGAAGTTTTATGTCCCTGAAAAATGGTTCAAATATTTGTACACACGCTCTCCAGCAGCGTCATTGGTCGTGTCTGCTGTTAATGAAAGGGACAGGCAGCGCCAAGTCAGTGGCACGTCGAAAAGCAAAGATTTCAAGAGACTGGATTTGTTTGGCAGAAAAGTTAATTCGACGACCAGCCTGCAATATCGGGTGTCTAACCACCAGCCCCTGTTAGACAGGTACAATTTTAATCTGTAGGACTCCCTTAGCAAATTCAAGGAGGCCATCCCAGAGGACCAAGCCCAGGAGTTTGCTGCTTTGGTGGACAAAGGCGTAGCGGTGGTAAGAGGGGCCCTCCAGATGGCCTGAGACGCTACAAACTCAGTGGCCAGGGTGGTCGCCTCAGCAGTGACCAGGAAGAGCAGCTCCCCGCTGCAGTCCTCTGGGTTATCCTAGAAGATGCAGACCACAATTCAGGACCTCCCGTTTGACGCGGTGGGGATATTCTCTGAGCTCAAGGACTCACGGCTCCACAGCCTTAAAGACTCCCGTGCCACCCTCCACTTCTTGGGCTTCATACCCCTCAGCAGGGCAGGAAGCCATTCCATCCTCTGCCTCCCCAGTCTAGGTCCTGGGGGACTACCCGGCTGAGCACCTACATGAGAAAGGATAGAGACAAGGGGTCTAAGCAGTGACACCCATCGTCTTCCTGCCCCCCCCCCCCCGGTAATATTTTTTTTGGGGTCTTTCTCTTTGGGGCCTTTTCTGTTCCTTGGGTCTGGGGGGGGGATCAGTTGCAGATTGGGGTGTAATGTGAGGGAAGTTCTTGACCTCGAACCTTCCTACCTCAAAAAAAAAAAAGGGTGCCCAGCCTTAGGGAAAAAAAAAATATGTTCTATATTAACAACCTTTCGTAACTGTTGTTCTTCGAGATGTGTTGCTCATGTCCATTCCATTATCCGCCTTCCTTACTCCTCTGTCAGAGCTGAAAGGCAAGAAGGAACTGAGAGGGCATAGGGTCAGTGGCGCCTAATATACCATAGCATGAGTGTGACGCTCAAGGGGGCGCCACAGTCGACCCTATGGCCACTGCCAAGGCAAAAACCTCCAATGACTGTGCATATGGGTACGCGCACACACCTAGAATGCAATGGACATGAGCAACACATCTCGAAGAACAACAGTTACGAAAGGTAGGTAACTGTCTTTTCTTCTTTGAGTGCTTGCTCATGTCGATTCCATTCTAGGTGACTTGCAAGCAGTATCCTTGGAGGTAGGCTCGGAGTTCACTGTCTAGGCAGGGGTAGTCTATTTTTTGTCAAGGTCCAAATTTATTGATCAAAGATATAGTCAAGGTCCAGCCTCCAGAGAAGAAAATAATAATAATAATAATAATAATAAAAAATACCCCAACAGTAATGATAATAAGTAATGAAAACATTTCTGGGTCCATTTGGAATTTCTCATGCCCCACCAACTTTTGAGACAGCTGAACGTTCCACTACACACCATAGCCCAACTCTTGCCAGTACAACCAAAATTAACAAATTATGATGATTGTGCTTAATTGATCAGCATTGAAATTGTTAATGTTGGCATTTAAATTGAGATTAATTATTTCATGTCTGCGCTTTTGTTTCCAGTTGTCTAAAAACTCAGGCAGATATTCTGGCCTCAGTTAACATTTGCATCACATTTTTAAGGTTTTCTTCACAGTTACGATGGCTGAAGACTTTATTTTAAAATTAAATTTTAGTTTATCTAGCAGTTACTGAAATTTTAAAAAAACACAATTATGTGACCATTTATGTGTCTGCATAATCTCATTAGACCTGGGTATGATGAGATGCTTATTGCTTGGAATTATTTCACATACAAGCCATAGGTGAATCTTATGGGTTTTTAATGGATCTGACTTACTCCCTTCTCATAGATGACAACAGGAGACATGGAAAGCATTCTGTTCAGAGGTGTCTTGCACAGGATATAGCTAGGTTAATTCACATTGCAATATTTTGAATTCACCTCTGGGCATAAAATTGTATGTCTGTATTTTCACCAAAAAACCCCCCACAACCTTTTAGATGAGGGAAAAGTTCCTTCTCATCTCCTTCTTCAAGTAAAGCTTGTTTGTGTGGGAGACAGACTTTTCTCTGCGGGCAGAGTGAGACTATGGAATTAACTCTCCCAAGAGCTAAGGACCATCACAGCCCTTACCATTTTCTGCTCCACGGGTAACGCACATTTCTTTGATCTTGCCTTCCCTATCGCAAACACAACAACAGGTTTATTTATATTAAAAATAATAATTTAAAAACGCTACCAAAACAAGATATTTCTCCTTCTGGGAACAAGCAACACTTGTCAAGTTGCTTAATGCACTTTTGGAAGTTGCTCAGATATTATAGTGATGAGTGCTGTATAAAAACCTAGATAGAATAGAGAATATGTACTGATGTCAGAAGAGGAGTTTGTTCAGTATATGTAATCAGTTACTTGATCTTTCCCCTCCTTATCAATAATAGAATTTTTTAATTTGCCATATTATTTCTATATGAATTGCAAATCATAGATCTGGATGCCTCAGGAACAGGTAAGGGGACACTGGGCCTTTCTGTTTGGTTTGCTTATTAAAATCCAACCCAGGTCTGTAAGGACTAGAAATTATGCTGGTCTACATCTAGTAAAATGAAGCATCTTGGATTAAACTGGTCAGTGTGTTTACATCACAAAATTCACTGTCACAGTTGATACCTAAGACCAACATGTCCCCACTCCTAGTGGTGTTTGTTCCCTTTATGTCGCAGTTGAGGAACACACTACACGCTAGCCTGTCATTTGCTACTCATGCTGTACTTGTTCTGTGGATATATTTATTCAGATTTTTAACAATAACAAAAGGGATTGGCTGTCCAGAGCTTTAGGCACCCCAATGTTAGTTACAAAAATAAAATTCAGCAGCAGGTTACTGCCAACAGAACTTATCTCCCTTTAAAACACAAACATCCTCCCCCAATTGACTTCCCTTATGTAATCCTCAGCAGCAGCCCATTCAGATGGATGCATCCTGCAATGTGCCATGAAGGTCAGCAGACCAGGACTCCTACAGACTGAGGGAGGTGTAGCTTGTTCTGGCGCAGAGGGCCTCTCACAGGGAATGCTCTGCCATGGGGTTCTTCTCTTTTACTTTGAGAGGGATCTAGGTCAAGTGCCTCCACTGTGGCTGTATGGCATGAGGAGAGAGGCGGTTCCTCAAGAAGGAGCGTCCAGCCATTTAGGGCTTTCTGGATAGAGAGCAACACCTTATATTTGATCTAGAAATAGAGCAGTTCATTTTTCAGTGCTGTCAAACTAGTAGTACTCAGAAAGCAATAAAATTCACTGACTGAGAAGAAAAACACACCTAGCTGTGGTAACATAGAACACTTCCCTGTGATCCATTTCAATGGCTCCATTACGAGAAAAAATTATTTTAATTAGAAATGAACTGGAATGTAAGAAGATTTAGGATTTATTTGGTGCTATATATAAACATTTAAAAACAGTTGGGCTGGCTGTAAGTTTTGGTAATTTACCTATGGCTGCTTTCCTTATTTAAAAACTTAATTGTAAGTGTTCTGAAGTCTGTTTTTTTAAAAAAAAAAAAAAAAGGCATACATTGAAAGAGTTTGAATTTCTAGGAAAGAGAGAGCTGAATATAGACATTAAGCTTCTGTCTTTTGCCTGTTTTTTTCCCTTGTTTCCCTCCCCTTTCTTTTGAAGGACTTCATTAACACTGATAACATGGTAGCGAACAAAATAATTAACATGGGGGAAGGGAATTGAGGCGGTTACAGTGAGGGATGAGAAGTCCAACATTTTGCAAATAAAAAAAAAATGGATTAAAAAAAGTATTGTTCATCTCACTGTAATGTACTGGTGAATGTCATTAGGGTTTAAATAGACAGTGTCAAGCAGTTTATCCTCAGCATTTAAGTTCTGTGTTGGGAGAGGTTGGATTCCAATTTTAAAATAAATTAAATGTTTGCATAATATTTTTAAATCAGTTTTTGTTTGATTTTGTCACAAACGTGCTAGTGCATAAGAAGCTGAAGGTAAAACTGATAAGCATATTGTCATCAGTAAAAACTGAATAGCATGTAAAAAGTAAGCAAATAGAAAATTCTGTGTCTGCCAGTGCACATTATGGGTGATTCCTTAGATTAAATTGTTCGGTGTCCAGACTCCTTCACTTCCTCCTTTCAGCAACTCTTGCACATTCTCAATTATTTCCTGTTTCTCAGCAAAGAAACAGCTGGGATCATCATCATGATTAATGTTTTCCTCCATGTGTTAGTGTGAATTTTCATGGTGTAGAAAGGATGTGAATGTTCCCTTTGCAAAAATCTCTTGTATTTTCCATTGCTGAATCATTCTACTCTCCACTTGGACCGCAACTCATGCAGTATCTTGTGCATGGACAATAAGAATCTTATAGCATCTTTTAGAAGAATTGCAGTTTGCCTTGGCCAGAGTTTCTAACCACGTCCTCTCCCTTCTCCCCATCCCTCCGCAAAGGTGGCTGAATTCTAGTGATGCTCTAGTGAGATGACAGGTTTCATATCAACCAAGATTGTTTTTATGTTTCAGTGTATTGAGCAATCTGAGTTTGGTGGAAGTGTATTGATTTACCATCATATATCAGTTTTCAGTGACAACATTTTGTTTTTCCTTTTTTTCCTAAATTGTAGGAATACTCTGAAGATAGTAACTCTGAGCCAAATGTGGATCTGGAGAATCAGTACTACAATTCCAAAGCATTAAAGGAGGATGATCCCAAAGCAGCACTGAGCAGTTTTCAGAAGGTTTTTAGTTTTTAAGTTATCCCTTTTATTTATGTTAATGTTATAACCCACAATTACATTTGATCTATGAAATTGTTTACTTGGATTCAAGTTATTGGTGTATTTGATATTGAAGATGCATTAATAATTCCCACTGATATTACCACATGAGGTTGTTTCCAGGAATTTTGAGAGAAACTTTTTGTAGTAGTGTAACTTATTAGTGCAGATGGTAATAAGCTTTCATCAGACTTCTTGGCTCCCAGAGTGTTTACACACTTATAAATACCATACCGAGAAAATATATTGTTCATTGTTTAGTGGCACAACTGATTTTTTAAAAAAATTTTGCAAAACTATTAATCCTTGAAAAACTGTTAATTTTAATTTTTTTTATTCAGTTAGCTTGTTTGTCAGCTGTAGAGACCATATCCAATTGTCTTTTTTCTTAATTGAATAACCATTTTCTTTACTCTTACATAATGCATTACTATTGGTTACAATCCTGAGTAAAAGGCTTCAGGTTGTAAATGCCAACTGACAGAATACCTGTAGAAGAGTTATCATTCACATGAATTATATGCTTACTGTCACCAGAAAGTGGTGTGTTTTAAAGATGATCAGTAAAAGAAAAAACATTAGGCCTGTTGGGCTTCTTTATGGTGTATAAAAAAAGCCTCTGAAGAGATTTGTTTTGTTGGTGGCTTTTTTTTAATTGGTGGTGGGAAAATACTCCTTTTTTGTTACACTAAATCTTCATCTCTGGTCTAACCTGGAAGACTCTCTAAGATGACTGAAGAACTAATGAAATGATTACATCACAAAGTCAGAATGAAGTGTTGTGCAATTGAGAGAGGAAGGGATTTTTAGTCAGATTTTTTTCAAAGCTCTACTTTCTTGTGTTTTTGTTTAACTTCAGTGACTAACATTTTTGAGTAATGAAGTCTTTGATAAAAATCCATCACCCTGCCCCATCAGTTAAGGTGTGTGAATTAACAACAGCCTGAGGTCCCTGGCAAGTCCCCTAACATAATCAGGGATTGTCAGAATTGATGTTCCTTTCTAAGGTAGAAAACAAGCAGGAAAAAACTTTCAAGCCTCTTTTTATACCTTCATTAATTTTTTAAAAAGACACTAGCTCTTTTTTTTTTTATCCCTTGCATGTCAGCTTTATAAACATTGGGATTTTGATGAAGAATTATTTTTCTATTTCAGGTTTTGGAGCTTGAAGGTGAAAAAGGAGAATGGGGATTCAAAGCATTGAAACAGATGATTAAAATAAACTTCAAATTGGTAGGAGTTGCAGCTATCATTTTAGGAAATGCTAAATTGCATTAATATTGCATTGATTCACAGTTTTTAAATCGTTGTCCTTTCCTTATTTTTTATCTCCAAAATCACGTTTGAAAGAAAGCTAAAACAAAAAAAATAATTCTCTAATAATCTCCACATAAGAAGTCATTATAGTTGCCACAGGGAATTTATATGGTCATGATTAACATTAACCTCATTATTAAGAAGTTTTGAAAGTTAGACCCACTTTTCCCTATGCACCCATCCCAAGCTACTGGGATAGATTGCTTGAGTGTAAATACAGCTATTATGTATATTGACACCTTTTTAAATAACATTGATGAGCTTGCTTTAAATTGACCAAGCACTTCAACCAAAACACACTGTTTAGGTAAAATATAAAACAGATTTATTAACTGCAGAAAGAGAGATTTTAAATGATTATCAGTAGTAGGCACAAAAGGTCAGAGATAGTTACCGAAGAAAATAAAAGGTAAGCACACAGTCTAAATCTCAAACCTTATTAGACTAAGCAGTATTTGGGTCAAGCAGTTTTTCTTACCCCTCTGGATGTTGCAGGTATATTACAGTTCTTAATACACAGGCTTTCCCTTTAAACAGGGACCGGTCTTTGTATGCCCAGCATTCTTGTTGCTTCCAGGATAGGTGGGGGAGGAGAAAGGTAAAAGCATGATGCCACTGTCCCCTATTTTATATCCCCAGTCCATGTGCCTAGAAAACACTAACCCAGACATGTCCTGGTGGGTTTTGCTGAGTGACAGCACTGAGCAATCCCCCATTTTGTGATGCTTGTGCAGCCCTCTTGCAGCATTGTAAATCCCTTATCCCTGCTGATTAATAGTCATTTAACACCCTCCTGTTGGTGGCTCTCCTCTTTTTGTTGTCACTGGAAAACTAGGAGTGGGCAACTCCCAAACTCACAACTAGGGCTGTAGATAAATTGCAGTTAACTCATTTAACTCATGCGATTAACTCAAAAAAATTATTTGCAGTTAATGACAGTTTTAATCGCACTGTTAAACAATGGAATACCAGTTAAAATTTATTAAATATTTTTGGATGTTTTCTACATTGATTTCAGTTACAACACAGAATACAAAGTGTACAGTGCTCACCTTATATTTTTATTACAAATATTTGCACTGTAAAATGACAAAAAAAATAGTATTTTTCAATTCACCTCATACAAGTATTGTAGTGCAACTTCTTTATCGTGAAAGTGCAACTTACAAATGTAGATTTTTTTGTTTGTTACATAACTGCATTCAAACACAAAACAATGTAAAACTTTAGAGCCGACAAGTCCACTCAGTCCTACTTCTTCTTCAGCCAGTCGTTAAGACAAACAAGTTTGTTTACATTTACAGGAGATAATGCTGCCTGCTTCTTATTTACAATGTCACCTGAAAGTGAGAACAGGCATTCATTCACATGGCATTTTTGTAGCCAGCGTTGCAAGGTGTTTACATGCCAGATATGTGAAAAATTCATATACCCCTTCATGCTTCAGCCGCCATTCCAGAAGACTTGCTTCCATGCTGATGATGGTCATTAAAAAAATAATGCATTAATTAAATTTGTGATTGAACTTCTTGGGGGAGAATTGTATGTCTCCTGCTCTGTTTTACCCGCATTCTGCCATATATTTCATGTTATAGGTCTCGGATGGTGACCCAGCACATGTTGTTCATTTTAAGAACATTTTCACTGCAGATTTGACAAAATGCAGAGAAGATACTAATGTGAGATTTCTAAAGATTGCTACAGCACTCGACCCAAGGTTTAAGAATCAGAAGTGCCTTCCAAAATCTGAGAGGGATGAGGTGTGGAGAATGCTTTCAGAAGTCTTAAAAGGGCAACACTCCAATGCGGAAACTACCAGAATCTGAACCACCGAAAAAGAAAACCAACCTTCTGCTGGTGGCATCTGACTCAGATGATGAAAATGAACATACGTCGATCCGCACTACTTTGGATTGTTATCAAGCAGAACCAGTCGTCAGCATGGATGCGTGTCCTCTGGCATGGTGGTTGAAGCCTGAAGGGACATGTGAATCTTTAGTTCGTCTGGCACGTAAATATCTTGCGACACCAGGTACAATAGTGCCATGAGAACTCCTGTTTTCACTTTCAGATGACATTGTAAACAAGAAGTGGGCAGCATTATCTCCTGCAAATCTAAACAAACTTGTTTGTCCGAGTGACTGGCTGAACAAGAAGTAGGACTGAATGGACTTTGCTTTATTTTTGAATGCAGTTATATTTTTGTACATAATTCTACATTTGTAAGTTCATCTTTCATCATAACAAGATTGCACTACAGTACTTGTATTAGGTAAATTGAAAAATACTGTTTTGTTTGTCATTTTTACAGTGCAAATATTTGTAATAAAAAATAAATATAAAGTGAGCACTGTAGACTTTATATTCTGTGTTGTAATTGAAATCAATATATTTGAAAATGCAGAAAACATCCACAAATATTTAAATAAATGGTATTCTGTTATTGTTTAACAGTGCAATTAATCGTGATTAATTTTTTAAATCGCTTGACAGCTCTACTCACAACATATTTCAATAATAGCAATCCCTCAAAATCTCATAACTTCATAAATACTACCAGTATACATATTTTGACAAACAGTTGGGTTCAGCATATCATGACCTTTCATATGATATCTTACATGGCATGCTTTGTATGAAATATAATTATATGAGAGGGGTGGATATGGGGTTTCCAGGGTGATGCTTTGAGGTAGAGTGCCACCTTGCAGTTTTGATAATTTGTTTAAAGAAAAAAAATGGGCTGATGACATTTTACATATCAAGCTCAGCAAACAGAGAATTTTTAGAGTGTCTTATAAAGTTCAGTTTTTTTATATGAATTACAGGTAGCTAACGTGAAATATCTGTGACTGAATCCCCCCGGGTTGCAGCCTGGGACTGTGGGACCGCTGTGCCCCTTAACTCTTTCCAGCCTGGGCTATCTCTCATAATGCCTTGCTAGTGACCAGCAGCAAGCCCCTCCAGGTGCTGTGGTCACTCAGCACAACAGCATGTGAAGCCCCACACACCCAGCTAGATTGCATGAATGCTTCGAGAGCCACTCATGACGCACACAGAGAAAGGCACCAGAGCCAAATCCTCCCAGCACTGTACCTCAAAAATACACAGTTTTGCACTGCTCAAGATGGGCAGTGCAGATTTATTAATTGGTTCATCACTTCAGCAATGGAAAGTGGTTGTACACCAGCCTTTGCAACACCTGAGATTTGCCACACACTTCATACAAACTCACTGGTAAAGATAAACAGTTAAACAAATTTATTGACTATAAAAGATTTTAAGTGATAGGCAAAAAGTCAGAGTTCATTACCAAAAGAAATAAAATATAATCATGCAGTCTAAACACTCAACCGTATTAGACAGGGCAACAACTAGATTAAGCAGTTTTTTTCACCCCACTGGATATTGCATTCCTTAGTATACAGATTTCACCCTTGAAATCTGGGCCAGTCTCCTCTGTTGGGAGTCCTGTCGTCTTCTCAGTGTCTTAGTTGCTTGCAGCATAGGTGGGGACAGGAGAAGGGCCCAGTATGTGTCCTGTCTGTCTGGTTTATACCCTCAGTCCATGTGCTTGGAAAACACAAGTCCAGGCATGTCTGGGGGCACTGTTGAGTCTCCAAGCAAGGTTGAGCAATTCCCCTGGTGTGGCCTCATGTAGGTGAGTCATTGCAACTTAGCTCCCTTGCTGGATGATGGGTTGATACCCCACATGGGTGTTGCCTTCTTTCCTTGCTGTTGCCTCTGGGGAGCTAATGTCTGGCTGATTCCCCAACTTACAGCAAGTTTTAGTGACCGCCATACAACACAATTCTCATAACTTCATATGCATTAATGATATACATATATGGATAGAGAAATTACTTTCAGCAGGTCATAATCTTTCACCAATACCTTACAAAGCATGCTTTATGTAAGATCACGATTATATAAAAACGAGGAATATGGGGGTTCCAGGACGCTCCCCTAAGATATAGAATGTCACAACATCATTCACTATAATGTGTTGGTAGGAAATATGTTTTCTCACCAAATAATGTGGCCATGCTAATTCTCAAATAGACTTTTCTCTATTTAAACTTCTGTTCTGTGAAGATCCACTTAACTCACTTTTGACTGTGCCACTCATGAGTAATGTGGTGATCCTAAATAGGTGACAGAAAAATTAGAGCAATCACAGAAGTGCAACCACAGACATGCATCACTGCATAGTCTCTCTACTGTAATGTTTTTGGGTTTTCTGTGCATATTTATAGTTGTTAATATCTAATGGCAATGTTCAGTAAACAATTTTTCATGATTATGAATTATACATGTTTTTCCTCACAGACTAACTTTCCTGAAATGATGAACAGATATAAACAGCTATTGACCTACATACGGAGTGCAGTTACAAGAAATTACTCTGAAAAATCCATCAATTCTATTCTTGATTATATCTCCACTTCCAAACAGGTTAGATTACCATTCCTTTAATGTTGATGGTCCTCCTCCACCTGTCCATTTTTTGCCTTTTGGAAACCTGATTCTTGGTATAATTGGAGAACAGTTGTAATATTACATTTGTTACAGTATGATTAAATATTGTTCCCCACAATTTATTGATCATATGTTAAAAAATAACATGTCTTTAACTTTAATGTCCTCTACACAAGATTAAAGCAGGGTAGAAACTACTTTAGTATCTCTTACCTGGGATTTCTATACAGCTAAATGTCACAAATGACATGTTTTTCAGCAAAGTGGCTACCACCATCAATAGGTTCTCAAATGTAATTTGTAGTTAAAATAACTCTCTCTACTCATTAATTTAGCACTCGGATACGGTAAGAAATGTGCCTACCTTTCTGACTAGTAAAGTAAGCAGACTAGGTACATGGGACCAGATTCATGGCCAAGCTCTGCTCTCTTTGTGCTAATAGAGCAGCATAAAGAAAGAAGAAAGCTCCCCTGAGCTCCTAGCTGGGGATGCCCAGCATGTGGAGAATCGCCAGCACACAGAGTTGACTTCTATGCCTTCCTTCCCTCTTGCAACACACTGGGAGGGACAGATGAAGTGGCTGGAGTGTGATATACTCTGGCAGTTCCAAGGATGGCAGTTCCTTAGGACCATACCGAATTGGCAGTTTAGAGTATCTGTTCTAAGTTGTGCCAGGAGCTAGGACTGGAGAGAATCCGGGACTCATACCTGCAACCTGAAAGCCACTGGGCCCGTATCCCAACTGCACCCAGCAGATAATCTGGACGTTAGGTGTACAGAAAGTTTCTCTCTCAACTTTCTAGATTATCTGATTTTAAAGAAAAATGCTATTGAACGCTCTGCAATTTTGGGTTTTACAGTTTGTTTCCATACAGGAACATCTTCTGGTCTGCTCTGAGCAGAACAGTCATAATTTTTTTTATTCTTATTTCATGCAGTATTTGGATAAGAGGGAGAAAATATCTTTTATTGACCCCTTCCCCTCCTATCCTTTTACCCTTGTTGATCTCTCTTTTTCAGTTTCCAGTAACAGTAATGCTAGGTTTTTATTAGTATTTTTCTTAGATACTTACATAACAATAATTTTATCTGCTTAAGATGGATAAGTAGCTTTGGTTCTTCACTAATATAATAAAAAATTGCAGTTTTTAAAACCTTGTGCAACTTATTTTGAATTAAAAGCTTACATCTGGGTGCTTCTAAATGCTTTTCAGTTCCAAACTTCAGTGAAATCTTCTATTTTATGGTAATGTTGATTATTTATTATGCTTAAGTTTTGTCATTTTAGTTGCAATTTCTGCTATTTATAAGTAATAGTTCAATAAGATGCAGATTTCTGTATCTTATTTGTGTTGAAGTTCAAACATGCACTTTTAGTTTGTTCAAACTGACTATATTAACAGGTACAAATTTGCTGTTTACAATTATAGAATTCTGATTTTTTATGCCAGATGGATTTGCTTCAGGAATTTTATGAAACAACACTTGAAGCTCTGAAAGATGCTAAGAATGATAGATTGTGGTTTAAGACAAACACAAAGGTAAAATATATAAATAATATTTAGTTTTAATTTTTGCTTTCTATAACTTTCTTAAATTACAAGTCTTAATTTTATAAATTCTAAAATCCTAATTGTCCTAATGGCTTTAATTTTTTTAATTACAGCTTGGCAAATTATATTTAGAACGAGAAGAATATGGAAAATTACAGAAGATTTTGCGTCAGTTGCATCAGTCATGCCAGGTACAGTACAGTAGATATTTTAAAAAAATACTTTACTACCCCAAAACTACTTGTAAAATCATTCACTGTAACTTTGTATTTAGTACTAATTTCACATCCAGTTTTCAGGCCAGGAGAATGGCATATCATTGGGATTTGTAAATAAAAATTAAATCTAATGCTTGTTTTCATTCCTTATCTGTTTGGTAACTTGAAATAAAAATCATAAAATAGTTATTTGCTGGTAAAAAGATGAATTTTTATAACCATCAGACAGTAACTGCATTATCGTTGCATTTCACTTAGGTTCGGGAATGAGAAGCATTTGTGAATTATTATTCCTTTTAATGTATTATTAAAATTAATACAAACTGTTCGGCAGAAAAAAACTACATTTAAATCAATAGAGAAGCAAAAATTCTAAATGAAGCTTAACCGTAGGTGAAAGCTTTGGCCTTTATTTCATTATGGAAAAAATATATATAGCCAGTTGCTTTGGCCAAATTAGCCCCCGGCTTTGCCTATCTTCTCCATCTTTATGCTGAACAAAGATGATGTACACCTGGGAATCTGGCCTATTATTAGCAATATTATGGTCATGAATACATCACTGCTCTCTTGCAGTGGTTACGTGGCTTTAACTTGTGTATACTGAAAGAAATTCATAAGATATGAAATGTACAGAAGGTCAACTCTTGAAGTCCTTACTCAAGCAAAACTCATAGTAAAGTCAGTATTTTTACCCAAGTGGAAAAACTTCAGAACTTGGTCCATGCTAGCTTCCTTGAACATTGTTTGAATTTCACTGGTTGTATTAAAAATATGGTATTTGGAAACTTCCTTATTTTTGGCAAGAGATTTCTGAAAATATTTAGTAACACACTTTTATATTACTAGAATGGTGACCTCAGCATTACTTCAAGATTCACAGTATTCATTATTACTCTTTCCTAGACTGATGATGGAGAAGATGATTTAAAAAAGGGCACCCAGCTATTGGAAATCTATGCATTGGAAATTCAAATGTATACAGCACAGAAAAATAACAAAAAACTTAAAGCACTGTACGAACAGTCATTGCACATCAAGTCTGCCATTCCTCATCCACTGATCATGGGGGTCATCAGAGGCAAGTTTTTTTTATATTACTACTTTAAAATTCCTTTTGTTCAGACCAGTGTCACTTAACATAAATTTAAACATATCTTATTTTTTTTGTTTCAACTGAAAATACATTACAGAAAACATTCCATATATCTGATCTCATTGAATTGCACTGGCAACTACAAAAGCATTAGAATTCACTAGAAGTACCTATTTACTGGCCAGTAAAGGTTGACTGATTTGTAATGAGAGCATGTACCATCTCTGAAAGCACCTTTCACCAGGTTATGGCTATCACTTGTCTCCTCTGCTGACAGGAAACCTGCCAGTTAGAGCAGTAAAAGGAAAACAATATTTCTCATTTGACTTTCTAAATAGTTTTTCTAAAAATATGTTGGACAGCTCCCATAAATAGATAATGTTGCTGTGCAGTCTCTTTGAAGTTTGTCATTGGGATAAATTCCAACTGAGTAAATGTATTAATTTGCAACCTTTTAACAAAAAGCTTGCAAAGGTATACTTCCCTTTATAGTTACTGTGTGATCTTAGGAGTGGTTATTTTTAATAATACTTGAATTGGAAAGCCAAAAAAGAAGCAGCCGCCTTATATTGATGTGCTAATGCTTTTTCTCAGCAGTTTTCATGAATTTTAAAAATAACCCTGAAAATATATTCAGGAATCAGTTTAGACATAGGATGGTACATTTAGTAGGATCGTTCTGATAAATGGCTGCAAGCACACAGCTTCTCCTTTCATCATTGTTTTCTTTTCAGAATGTGGAGGCAAAATGCACTTAAGGGAAGGAGAATTTGAAAAGGCACACACTGACTTTTTTGAAGCATTCAAGAATTATGATGAATCAGGGAGTCCTAGAAGAACCACTTGCTTAAAATATTTGGTCCTAGCAAACATGCTGATGAAGTCCGGAATAAATCCATTTGACTCTCAGGAGGTATACTTTATAAATGTGCACGAGTTGGCTTAGCTGCTGCTTTTCCAGTTTAGTAGGGAAATTGGCATAAATACCTTTTTTTTTTTTTTTTTTTCCCCCTACCTAAATGTACTTATTATGGTTTCTGTTCTGTGTAGGCTAAACCATACAAAAATGATCCAGAGATTCTAGCAATGACAAATTTAGTAAGGTAAGAAATTTTATATTTTCCTGAAGGGCAAAGCTACACTTGCTCCTAACCATGAAACAGATATTTTGGGTTTTTGGTTTTGTTGAAAATAATACAAACAGACTTTTTCATAGGTATCATACCAGCATTTCGGTTTGGGATTTTCAATGTTTCTGTTGTTCAGAAGCTTTCTATTTAGTGTGGTCTATATCAGTAATACTCAGACTGCAGCCCATGAGCCGCAAGTATCTCTTTAATGTGTTTCCTGCGGTGCTTTGCAGCACATGATATTAAAATGGGGTGTGATTTAATCAGGATGCTTTCACTATGTTAACTAATTACTGTTGATAATATAATAATACTTAGTCATTTTGGTGTGAGAGTGTGTGTGTGTGTATGCATGCATGTATAATTATATATATATATATAAAAAACTAAATATTTCCCTTGACATACTGTTTAAATATGAATATATAGTACTATAGTAAATGAAACAATGAATTCACACTACTGTGGCTGTGTTGAGTAATGTTGATTGCTAATTTGGCTCCTGAACCACTGAGGTCTGAGTATCACTGATCTACACAAAATTCTCTACAGTACCAGTTTAAAAAGACCCCACTAAGAACATATACTACTTTGTTTTACAGCTAAAACAATAGATCATGCTGAATTCCTATCTAGTTTCATTAATGTTATTGTTTTTCCCTAAAGGCAAGTGTCTTCCAAATATCCTAATTCTGAATCATGAGATTTTATTGCAAGACTGGGGAACTGACTAAAAAGATGTTCTTTGTGGTTTGAACGTCTGAGAGATCACATTCGTTTGCAGGTTTTATGGCTAAATAGCTTCCAACTATCAGCTTATTTACTGTGATTTATGTAGTGAAATTTTGATTGAACCTTGTATTCAGAAGCAAGAATTATATTTATAATTGATATAATTATATTTAATTGTATTTTTTGTATATAAAAGCTGCAAATTTAGTTCTTTTCTTTCCATGAGCTGATCCTTCTCTCTTATAGTTCACCATAATATTAAAAAAAACATTCACATGTGGTTTTTTGTTTTGTTTGTTTTCCCTTTAGGAAATAACATGAGTGCTCTTTTTTGTAGAAGTTCAATATGTTGCATGATAGTAGCAGCCCAGACTCTTTATTCCAGTAATATATTTAATAATCCTGGAATAGAGGGTATTTAAAGAAATTTACAACTGCCTTTGTCACTGGTGTTTCAAGGCATTCAAAGTTTCCAAAATGGCCAATGCTGACTGTACAAATTCAAATTTGGTCATTTAGAATCTGATTTTTCAGAGTTGCTGACCACCTGCAAATCCAGTGGCAGCTGGGAATGCCCAGGACTTCTGAAAATCAGGCCCGTTAAGCTTTCCTTGAAGGCTGATATGGTATGTTATATTAGTAGGATGATTTGGAGGCATTGATATGCAGTATTTTCACACATCAAGGCATGTGTGCCAAAGGAGTTTTCAGGCAGGGTTTTTCGGAATAGAGCTTTCAAGTCTCAAATCCTGCAAGCATGTGCATCCCTAAGCATATGAAGATCCAAAGTGCTACATGGATTTTTACAGATAATGTGGTCAGCATCGTTTAGGCCCTAGGGTATCAAGACCATCAGCTTACGTAGATTGTATTGAGGCAGTTTTTCCATGCTTTGCTGTGAAACCAGTTAGTTCCTGTCCACTGTAAACAGATTCTGTCTTGACAAATAAGAAGCAATCTGTGTTCGGTTCTCTTCTGCAGTCAAAAGATGGGGAATTCCTTTGTCCAAGTTTTGAAATAAATAGTTAACACTGTGGGCCAAACATTGTTCAGATACAACTACTGTTTGCTATCATTTGCTCAAAAACAACAACATTCCTGAAACCAAAGAGGCATATGCATTATTGACCTAATGATGAATAAAGGATTTGGCAATCTGTGGAGGGATTACTTCAGAGAATTTCAATTCCATATACGTCCTTTCTACTTTAGTTTCATGCTTTCATGTAAATGTGAGACAGAAGGAACTCCCACGTGGTTTTAGCAAGCCTGCTTTCATTCATACTACCTAATTTATATTCTGTATCTTTAGATCTGAGTGTATTTGTCTCTCAAAAATATGAAAGCAAGTAAAAAATATAACACAAATTAAGCTGCAGCAGATAATATCAGTTTTGTTAAGGTTACAGTGCTATTCTTAATTTCTACTATAATTAGAAACTAAATTTGCATTTAGATTTTCCAGGGGGAACTTATACATTTTGTCCATTGTAAAACAACTTTGCTTGTGGGGTACCCTTTGAAACTTTATACGTAATTTAAATGCCATTTAATTATTAGATGTTTCATATCACGTTTATCAACTATTACAAACATTTGCTTCTGCATTGTTTATCATCTCCTCAGGGTTGATCCACAATGAAGTCTTAATGCTGAGGTTATGGCATCATAATTATTTTGTCATAGACTTTGATGTGTATAAGCACAAAGATGACTTCAGTCTAGGGTCAGTCAGAAAGAATATCCACATTATGAAGAAAGTCATTACTAAAATACACACATTCACTGAATGCATATATTGGACAATACATTGCTGATGCCTCTTGGCACTTAAACACAGGAGGTTCCGATAAGGTGCATCAGGACACATCCATATTAACATAACAAAACAATTGAGTAACTTTGAGTGACTATATTTTTAGTGTTTTTAATAGGATAACTTTTTAAAATACAAATCGTTCAAAACCAATTTATAGTTGCAAAAGGGCAGAACGTTCATATTAAACTTCTGTGAACACTAACAAAACATAGTAGAAGAAATGAAGGAGCTACAGTGTTATCCTAAGACGCATGTTTTCAACGCCCTTTTATCTTAAGCATCCTCAATTTCTAACTGTCAGAAAGATTGTGACTGTAGTTCTTTGCTACCAATTTTTAATATACTTTTTAGCATGTGGAAACTGGAAATCTTATCCTGATCTGAAACTTTTTTTACTTGACAAAACTGTAATTCACTCTCCTTTATTGTTGAAGTGCCTATCAGAATAATGACATCACTGAATTTGAGAAGATTCTGAAAACAAATCACAGCAACATCATGGACGATCCCTTCATAAGGGAACACATTGAAGGTATGGTTACAGGAGGTTGTTGTCACAGTTCAGGGCAACTGCACCTGTATTTCCCCTGAGTGGGCACTAGCTTCAGGCTTCCAGCTCCCTAGTTTTTGCCTTTCTGGATGGAGACCCGTGTCTCTCTGCCTGCAGACCAGAGTATTTCTAGGCTGCATGGTTCCCTGCCTTCACTACGTTCTTCCCAGCACGGGCAAGTTGCCCAAAGGCACATGCTTGCTTTCTCTCAGAAATGGTTAACAGGTGTAATTGCTACAGTAGTACACAGTTCTTTGTGTGCAAGCCTATTTTTTTTATTAACATAAAAAGCAATACAGAGAAAACATATTAAAAACAATAAAGAACCTACACCCATACTAATAAGCTTACCAGATGTTACTCTAACATGGATTCTGGCAGGAATCTCCTTCTCCCCCCACCTAACAGGATTCAGCTTGTGGTTACAATTCATTATAGCCTCAACTCTGAACTAGCACACTCATAACATGTTTAGTCCACCCTTTATACAGTTCAGGGGTCTTTGACCTGGAGTTTCTAGGAGCACGTTGACCATGGGCTTTCCTCCCTTGAGGATAGCTTGAAAAGGGAGGATTCAAAGAGAGTCATTTGCATCCACTTCACAGGTATTGGTCTAAAAAGTCCTTTGAAGTTCCTAATACCATCCAGAGATTGCATTAGTCAGTCTCTCCTGTAGAAGATAGATACACTCAGTTCCACAGGAATACAAACAATTGTATTTTTAATACAATGGACTCAAAAGACGTTAAACTTTAATTCAGAGTTTAGCTTCATTCAGTAAACATCACTCAGGATATTGTCAGTCTGTCCCAGTTGTAATCCTGTTTTTTCTCTGACTTGTTAAGATATATTTCTTCTGCACTGGGAGAATAATAAAAAATAAATGTTCCTTATGAGTTAGTGTTTAAAAACTCTATTGCTGGAAGTCAGTGTTAATGAGATGCTTTGTTATATAACGGTGAAAATTACCAAAACAATAGTTGCTTTAGGTAAAAGGAGCACATTTGCAACCAGATTTATGAATAAAAACAGCAGCAAACCTAGAGCCTCATCTTTTGAAGTAATGGAAAAATTACAGTTGACTTCAGTCAGCTTTGGATGAGGCCCCTACTGAGGAAAAGCATGTGTGGTTAACAGCTCATGAGGGCAATCTGAATATGACTAAAACTGTTATTCGTAAAAGATACCTAATTGCATGGAAGTCATTGGGTCAGATCCTATGATGCAGCCAAACTATGCAGAATGTGATGGTGTCTTAAAACTCAATCTTTGTGCTCCCGAGTAGTGCTCTGTGCAGGTCATCCATCCTTTCCCCTGTGTTGTATTTTGAGGGCATAGTATAGGGATCCATCAGCCTCCCTGCCTTTTTCTCAAGCCATAGTCCATTTTCATTGCTACACCAGAAGCGGGGAGAGTATGTGGGGTTAGAACCTCTATTAGCTCTTTATCACTGAAGGATCATCCTTAGACGGAGGTGATCCTTCCTGGACCAATTAATATGGCTTTTTAGCCAAATGTGATTAATCATGCAGTGAAATGTGCCTACACTGCCTTGGAGGATCTGGCCCCTTATGGCATTAATTGTCACTAATTAAAATAAAAAGTATTGTTGTGTATTCCTATATAGTGTTAAGTTTGGGTTTTCACCCAATTCATGTGAGAGATTTGATAAGCGTACAAACAGCAGTAAAACAGTCAGCTGGCCGAGTGAAGGAAAACAGAACAGGCTTAAAAAATATTCATACATATTTATTAACAGCTCATGCATGCATATTTTTAATTTATTAAACTTGCAGTTTATCTAGTGAGAAAGTGAAAAACATTCTTAGCTGCTGCACAGACTCTTCACATTGCAACTCTGCCACAATTCCTTGTCTTGTTAGGCTATTGAACTCTGATTCTGCAAACAGACTTCAGTGGGGTTACTTCTGTGCTTAAAATCAAGCATATGCGTATTTGCGGGGTTAGTGCCTTAAACTTTTCACATTTTGGTGAAAGACAGGTATTTCTTTAGTAAGCTGAGATGGTAAAGATACTGTGCAATATTGTGTACCATTTATCCAGTTTCTTAGAATAACTTTAAAATAGTTACAAACTATTTTGAAAACTGTATTTTCAAGCTTAAATAAGTTTTAACATTATCCAGTACTCCTGCTAATACCCAGGCTGCGCTACATACTGTGATACAACCAGTGAAGAAAGATGGCTTATTTTTACAACGTGGGAGTACTTATTACCATATAGGATCATAGCAGTCAAGAGATGGAAAAGACCCACTAGATATAAATATGGATCTATATTGCACACTTGCTCATTTGAATATGTAACCATTGTTCTTACAATAGTTACTTATTTGTTTTTCTTCTCTTACAGAGCTTTTGCGAAACATCAGAACACAAGTGCTTATAAAATTAATTAAGCCTTATACAAGAATACATATTCCTTTTATTTCTAAGGTACTTATCAGAGGAGATTTGTATTTGCTTAAATTAACGACAATTATAAATCAGCATAGCTGTTAAACAAATACAGCACTTTCCTAAATGGAACATCTGAAAATGTAGCATGGCCCCCAAAATGCAGTTAATAGAATACTGATAGTTTTGCAGTGTGTAACTGTAAATTTACATGTAATCTGAATGATTCTTATTAATGCTATAGTAAATGTTTAAGATGTTTAGCTGCCAATTTTGCAGCATAGAGATGCACTTGCTTTTGTAAAAAAACTTGAAAGTGCATAATTCCTCTTAGGCAACTATAATAAATATGAACTAGCATGCACAAACTCCGATGAAATTTCAGCTGTTTTAAACCCTTCTTGTCTAGCAGATATCATTAAAGGTCAGTGATGTCAGAGTTGTAAGTCTGACAAGAGATGGAATAACAAATTCATAAATTAAAAAGCCAGAAAGGAATATGATGATTATCTAGTCTGACCTCCTGCATAACAAAATTGAAGTGAATTTCCATCTATTGTGAGGGGGAAATGTACTTTTATGACCTTTGTTAATGTTTGATTAGATTGATGGCATGGTAAAATGTATGAACTACTAAGGAAGAGTTAAGCATAGGTTTTATAATATAAGCACAAAATCTAAGGCTGATAAAATTGTCTTTTAAATAATTACTTACTGTAACCCGTGTACATTTTTTTTAAAGATGCCATTCATCAAATTTGCAGCACAAAATAGGCCAGGAGCTCCGCTGCTACTTACATATTTGGCCTTCTGAAGCATTGCTAGTGAACACATGCAGAGTTTTTCTTTTCCCCCGGGGGTGCTCCACCACCACTCTGCCCTGAGGCCCTGCCCTCACCCTGCCTCTTCCCGCCCCTGCTCTGCCTCCTTTTCTAGTCCCCACCCCTGCTCCCCCCCACCCCCAGATCCCTGCCTGCTCTCTGCCCTCCCCAAGCCTCTCCCCCAGCTGCCGGTCAGCTGTTTGGCGCACCTATTTTTTTTTTTCTGCGGGTGCTCCAGCCCCGGAGCACCCATGGAGTCAGCGCCTATGAATGCATGCCCATTCCATTCCAACTGTTAGACCAGGGGTGGCCAGACAGTTAAAGTGCAGCTCACAGAGCCCTCCCCACATCCCCCATTCTCTGCCTATCAGACTGGGGGGGAGGAGCACAGAGTTTCTACCTTGCAGTGGTGTGGTGGGGCTAGGGGCTTCTGCCAGAGGCAACTGGTTCCTGCTGAAAAGGGGGGGTACAATTTAAAGGTTCGTTCCTCCCCAACACTTGAGTCATGCCCCCTCAGGCACGCACCCCTTACCCTCAGCAGCCCCACCCTGCAGCTCCCAGGTGTTAGCTCTGCATGGAGAGGCAGCAGCAAAAGCAGCGGCTGTCCCTGCAGCTCCCAGCTGTTTGCCGCTGCCTTTCCCCATAGCCGCAGCTCCCAGCTTGCCGTCTCCAGCAGTTGCCGCGCAGGGAGGTGGCCCAGTGGCACCATGTGACAGAGCAGGGCCAGCAAACCCTAGCAAAAATCTGGGGGGGCACATGACACCCTCTTCCCCCCAAGTGTTGCCTTGGCTTCTGCCCAGTGGAGGGTCTCAGGGTTTTAGCCCCGTAGAGTGCACCTGCCAGGGCACGGGGCTTTAGCTCCATGGGGTGCACCTGCCAAGGCTCGGGGTGTCAGCAGGAGTGGCGATGAAGCCCTGAGCCGCAGCAGGTGTGCCCCAGCTCTTCAACTTCTGAAGATTGCCATATGAGGCACAGAGGGTGAGTAAGTTTGGCCACCCCTGTATTACACCTCATATAATTGTCGGATCAGTTCCTTTATGACTGCAATCAGTGAACGAGTTCTCTGCGGGAGCTGCTCACTTGAAATTTAGGGGTGGCATCTTGAGCTCTTCCGAGATGCTGCTGATCTTGTTGACAGTGTATATCTTGGTTGTTCTTTTCCTATTCTCTCCGATTATTATTGACTTGGTACTATATTCTGACATTAAGAAACTGAGCTCAGTACTTACATGTGAAAATTAAAATTAAAAAATGTTGGTTGCGAAATAGTACAATGGCAACATAACAAGAGTTTTCTGTCTTAGGAATTAAACATAGATGTAGCTGACGTGGAGAGCTTGCTTGTGCAGTGCATATTGGATAAGTATGTACTTTCCTCCTATTTCTGATTATTGAATGTCTTAAAACTGTAGTATAGAAAAAACAGCAAATCGTGTGTGTATGTTTCCCCTGAAAATGCCATTTGATTCTACAATTATATAAGATAATGTGTAAGCTACGTCCTTTGGAGCTGTTTGGGTTAGTAACGTGAGTCACATTAGAAGATGTGAATTCAGAAGATCTTTAAGTAGTTTGAATGGTATGATTTTACATTACTTTTGCATTTTATAATAGCATATGATTGAATCACTATGCCAAATTATGTAAGTTATATATTATTAACTAGTGTTTAAATCTATAAATATGTAAAGATTTTAAAAGCCTTTTATTTTAAGGGAATAGTGTCTAAACCTCCTACCTAATTTGCAAGTCTCAGCCATAGTTTATAAAACAACTGGATAATTTTTTTGTATTGATTTATTTTTTAGTTAAAAAGAAGTTTTTCCCTGTTCCCTGAATTTAAAAAAAATATATTTTTCTTGTAATTCCTATATTTGAGAAACCTTATTGGAAGCAGTGAATTCACTGTAAAACAAAGATCAGGTGTTCTCTAAAATGTTGTTCATTTGGGGTGGCCTTAAATTCCTACAAGCACCTCTGAGCCATGTGCACTGCATGCACGTTGGTCCTAGTGTCTCTATCCATAAGTGTTTGGCAGGGGAAGTGAGTCTGCAGTTTAACCTCTTATCATAATTTCCCACCGGGCACTACATTGTGCAGATGTTAAATTCCTAGGCCAGTCAAGCTCTCAAATAAATCCTAATGTCTTTGTTTTGCATTAGTTGAGTGTGTGTTTTGAGCGAATTACTGTTGTTTCAGATTTTTAATGTGGATTACAGATGTATCTAATTAGGGTTTTTTGTGTCTTTCTAGCACTATTCATGGCCGAATTGATCAAGTCAACCAGCTCCTTGAACTGGATCATCAGAAGAGGGGTGGTGCACGGTATACGGCATTAGATAAATGGACCAACCAACTAAATTCTCTCAACCAGGCTGTAGTCAGCAAGCTGGCTTAACAGAAAACAAGCTTTTACAAAATGTACTTAAGGCAACAGTGCGGTGATGTAAACTTTAAAAGAACTGGGAATGGCAAAACTACTGTCGGTTGATGTGCCCTGAAATTATTGGAGTTATGGCAGAAGTGCTTTTTTGATCAGCTGGTTTGTGTTTTGCTGCTGCATTTATCCCAAGAAAAACAGCTTTAATCTCCAGAAGAAAACCAAAATGCCACGGGATTTATGCTGTATTGACATCTCGCCCTAAACATACAACATGATAGTAATTTGTCAAGGGCAACTAATGACCAGAGAGAAGATTTTTGTCATGATTTTAAATACACTGACACGTTACTGTTGGTTAAATTTAAACATGTTTTACCTGCAGAAATTCTCTCACAGAAATAACCTGCAATAACTTGAAATGCATACCCTTTTGAACACTTCCTTTTCTCATGTATAAATTGAAATGTTTGCTGCATTTTTCAAAATGTCAATTCTCCAAAAATGTGTCCGTATATTTCTGTACCTGCAGCGTAGTAAAGGTTTAGAGGAAACCCCATAATTATAGTGGCATACTGTCACTTAGGTTTCAAGCAGCAAAATAAACAGTGCAGTTCAGAAATTGTACAGTTTGTTTCTTGATGTGTTTTCATTACATTTTGTTTTTTTAGAAAAGTAGGTAAGTGAATATTCCTCACCTCAGATAATGAGAACATTTTGGAGATTAAATCTTAACCTTGGTGCATGCTTTTGGTTTATTTCTTACCATATTTATGTACAAATATTATAGAGATTTAAGAACTGATATCTAGCAGTCTTGCTGATTTTTAAGGCTTTATTTTGAGAGGTACAGGGATCTTGCAATGCTAGTGGTAGTCAATGGTGGTAGGGGGTCTGCACTTCTGAGTATCAGGTCTTCATTTTGATCTCGGTATTTCAAATAAATGTTTGGTAGGAAATGGCTTTGGGGAAATTCAGACCACCATAGCTGACTTTAAGTTTGTGCCTTGTTAAACTAGATTTATGTTCTGACTTGGTTCTGAATTTAACTGTAATACGTTACGTAAGTAGAATATGAAAATTTGGGAGTGATATTGAGATTTCTGCTGTATGGGTATAGAATAGGGCTTTGTGCAGTGATAGGGGAGATGGAGTCCATCCCCTCCCTCTGACTGGTTGCAGTGCTGTCCCTTCATAGCCACTGTTCAAGCCCTGATAGAGCAAACTTCTCCCCTCCAGGAGTTCTAGGCCACTGGATCCATTTAACTATGGATCTGTAGTGTCCTCCAATGAGTCCACTGCATCAGCTCTCTCTGTGACAGCCTGTTTAGTGCCAGAACAGAATCCCTCCAGCAGCCCACATCCAGGGGATGTGGAAGCCTTCCTGTGCTGCCACTTTGTCCACACTTGCACTCGCTCCATTCAAGACAGATGCATGGTTTAAATGGTACAAAGGGCAATGCCAGGCACGCTCCTCACAGGATGAATATATTCTTAAAGCAATAAACACCTGAAGACATTTAAGAATAAAAGTGAAACCATTTAAACTCTCTTCAAACACAAACGAGAGTAACAAATAGCAAATGCTGTGTCACTTTCTGTGAGAGGAGAGGCAGGGGAGTGAGATACCAGCTAGTAAATCAAATGTTGTAGGACAGCTTGTGAATGACAGAGTTAAAAGAAAAAGATCTGGAACTGTAGTATCTAAAATTTAACTTCACAGACTTGAGTAACAAGGCTTCTTGCTGAACTGCTGGAGGTTTTAAAGGCCATAGAAAAAGGTTTATTTTTATGTGTGTAATATAGTATTTTATCATATATCATATATTTTGGAATGCAATTCTCTAGCCAGAGTCTTATTGAAACAATAAGCTAATGCTGAGTATTACATTGAGATTGTCAAATTTAGATAAACTGAAGGAAGGTCAGTAAATCCCTAGTCTGGCGAGTAAGAAATTGAAGGTGCATTCTTATATGTTCTTTTCTCTCTATTGATATAAATATCCTTTGTTACCTATGGAAAATGTATTAAGCAAAGCACCTATATTATCTAGAGATTGAAAAGCTAATTGTGCTCTTCAACACAACAAAAAATTAAATGGCTGTTACAGTTGCCTGGTTTTTAGAAGATTGATAAAAATAGTACTCTGTGCCTAACCTAAGCAGATAGAGCATTCAGACAGGAGACTGCAAAGGATTAGGGAAAGAATGATTTGCTGTATTCTCCCTCATGCCTATCAGGTAAGCACCGCTGCACCAAGTCAAATAACTATCTAAAGTAAATGAGACATAAGTATAGATTTCATCAAGAAATTCTAATCGTACTCAATATACCAAGAAGTTTTCCAAAACACTTTAAATAAATCACAGCTGTGCCTTTTTACTTAACTTTTTGTCATTTGAAATCCTGTAGTTGGTGTTTCAGATTACATCTTGTTTGTTCAAATGAAATTTTTTCCCCATTAAAAATTACACAAATCAGTTACATGGCTTATCATTTATAGTAAAGCCAAAACACACATTTTAGTTCAAGTGGTTGGGTTTGTATGTGAGCTGCTAGCAAATTAAGACTTAATTTAAAGCCATTAAATTTTGCAGATAGCTAGTCTCACAGGTTAGGTAGGTATTTACATGGCCTTTATCACCATATTGTTTGAGCACCTCACAATTGTTAATGGATTTTACTTTCACAACATCCCTGCAAGATAAGACAGTATTACCCCCATTTTACAGGTGGAGAACTGAGATAAAGGATAAATTAGATTTGCTCAAGATGACATAGCAAGCATATGGCCGCACCCAGCAATTGTGTCCCAGTCCAGTGCCCTGTCCACTTGACCACCCTTCTCAGTCATTTCAATACAATTTATTTAAAACCATTTGAAAGATTAGTTACATTGCATGCAAAGAACAACTCTTGTTCTGGTGTCCAGTGTGATTTGTATTAAATGCAAGGAAAAGTATATGAAACAAAACTCAATTCTTGTAAATAACGGGGCTGAATCTTAACATGCAAGTTTCCTTATAGATAGAATTTTCTTTTTAACCAATAGACACTTTAATCTACTCAGTCTAAACTGGGTATTCGGAGATACAGTTAAATGTGAATATAAATTGGAGCTGGGCAGAGTCCTTTTTCACGTTCTTTGAAAAATATCTTCAGATAACACTAGCAGATGCATTGTTCTCATTACACACCATATTTCTGAATAATACTATGGTATGTGACATGTTCTTTACATTTTAAAAAAAATCCCATGAAAAATCGATTGGAACTACTCAGAGTAGGAAGCACTGCCAGGTAGTAGGTGTTTGTAGGTTGGAGGCTGCATTTAGCAAAATCAAATTAATTTTTATACTTCACGGCAAATTTATACATGTGCATCCAGCTAATAAATAAACCACTCTGCAAGCCTGGGCTCCATATCTACAGATCCAGTGTCTTCCATATGGATAGTCATTCCTTCTTTAGGGGTCACCTTCCCATAGCAATGTGGGTGCTGAGCCCTTCTGTCATAGGCTCTCTCCCCTGCCATTTACCCTACAATTGTTCCCCAACCTGTGGGAGGGAACAATTGAGCCCTCCTCAAAAATAGAGAGGAGGCATTAACTGGAGGCCAACACTGCTTAAAGAGTGGCTTTTCCTAACCCACAGAGCCTTCCCGAACCTAGGTATGTCTGTTGGGGGGGCCTTTAGTAATTCTCAGGAAGGAAGGCAGAATGCAGAAAAAACCTGCTTCCACAGTACCCTTTGTGCTCCCTTCCCAGTGATGTTCACTTTACCTACCTTTATTAATGAAACTGGAGTTGAGGATTGGGCTCCAAATTAGTGCATTTTTGTGTAGAATCAGAATCCAGCTGTATTATAATACACTATGCTGCATCTCCTTGAGATAAGGATGTCATTCTCTTTATCTAATTTAGTCATCTATATGGTGCCCATCAGCACAGGTTTTTGTTTTTAGCTGCATATAATAGCGTTTAAAAGTGGAGGTTCAACCAGAAGAAAGGTGAGCATTTTAAGCAAAATCAAAAAGAAAGTAAGGCTGAATCTCCCTGTTTGGTGCATTTTAGTGTAGTGAAAGATGCCTGAAACTCAGTCTATTATCAAAACTGTATAGCTCTTTCAACTACCTGGAAATGTTACTTCACTGTAAAATGCTAGAATCCTATTTTAAAATTATATTTTTCAGATTTACTTTTCTTTTGCTGACATAGTTTACACAAGCTACAATCCCACCATTTGTGTTAAGTGACAGTAACGTGACATCTCTCTGGAATTTACCCCAAAACATTCTTTCTCGCTCAAAGCTAGAGCAGTTGTTTGACATTTCAGGAGTAGTAGGTTAAATTACTCTATGTAAATAAACTCAAACTGTAATTTACATAGTTGGGTTGGTTTTTGTTTTTGTTTTGTTTTTTGGAAGGTCAGTAACTTTAGCTCTTTATTTTTTTGTGGGCGAGCCGTACCTGTTTTCCAGCTCGCCTGTCGCCCTCCAGGCACTGGCAGTGTTTTAAGTAGGGCTTCACTTGCTGCCTTGCAGATGTGGCAATACATTTAATAAACTTTTAAAAACTAAGTTAAATTGGCACCTGTGTGGTTGAAGTGTTGCTGGAGGCCAGACCCAGCCATTGTTGTTTCCAAAGTGGCATTTTGGGTATTTTTCTCTTGCCATTTTACAGAAGAAAGATGCAGCATTTAATTGTTTGTACCTGAAATGTCAGATTTTAAAACTGGTGATTTATTTTTTTAATTGGACAATTAGGACTGTATTTTCAAAAACAGCCACTGAATTTGCACCCACAATTATTCGCATATCTAGAATGAATACCTGGATTTCTTTTTTTTCCTGACATGGATCCTTTAATATGACTGTAATCCTATTTGGTCCCACCTATACAAGTAAAAACCAAACTGTTGTAACCAAGAGCCCTTGCATAGATGTAATAGCTGTGGGGTGGGGATCTAACATAGCTCGTGTGAATAGCTTTGTGTCTTTTCCTCCTTTTCAGTGAAAATAGAGATTTAAAAAATTTTATGAAATATTTTAAGTTTCTTTCCCTCCACCCCTACAATATCTCAGGTCATCCAGTGTGACCCTCTGCATTCTGTATATTGTTTAGATATATAGATCCAGCTTTTTAAAAATACTGCCCAATTTAGATCTGAAGACTTCTTATTGTTGGTTACTATGAATAATGGCCCTTTTAAGTGTGACCTTTATGTTGGTATGTGTTTTGGGAACACAAGAAGAATTTTACAATGAAGTTATTTTTATCGTAATGATTCATTATTTAAAAAACGTCCAGCAAATATCTTAAGAAAATGTCCTAACACATAGTCGGTGGTCAGTATTATTTTGGGTGGGATTCTTAATTAACTAAGTTGCATTCCACACTATAGTTCTGGTGTCCATTTCAAAGAAGGCAATTGTTTCAGAATTGTTCTCAGTGGCATTCTTCATTGGGTTTTCTGCCAGTTGGGCAAGTTCTCCCACATTACTGGAGATACTGAAATGGCTAAGTTTGAAATAAGTCAACTTAACTTGGCAGAAATAAGCAAAAGAAATACAATAATGGGGAGGAATATAAACTTTGTTTTGTAAAGATGTGTAGATATACACTGA